TATTCATCCTACTATGTGCCATACGTTTTTCTGCTAGAACTTCATGGACGAAAATATGATTAACATATTAACATATGACGAAATAAAAAATAAACTTCCCCTTCTATAGTAATAATTATAGTAATAAAATATAAAATAGTAATAACATAGTACAATAATAACTATAGTAATAAAATTATTGATTTAAGACTGAGTAGTCATCACAGCCATATTTAATTATGACGTTAGAAGCGAGAAATGACATTAATTTTTATTACATGCTATTTATAAATAAAGACAATTTGGGTAAGACAAAATGATGAAATTGTTTTAAAACATTTGTAAAAATAGATAAAAATTATGTTATTTTATTTCCTCTGACAGTTAATAAATAATCGTAGAAAGTGATAAAAGACATGTAAGTGAAAATAAGCTACACATATGCAAGAAACAAAAGCACTTTATGTGCCTTTTATCACTTTTTAGGATTATTTATTGACTATCAGGGAGGATAGTTTTCATCCATTTTTATAAATGTTTTAAAGCAATTTTATCATTTTGTGTTACCCAAGTTGTCTTTATTTATAAATGATACGTAATAAAAATTAATGTCATTTCTCGCTTCTGACATTACGATTCAATATGATTGTGACGAATACTCAGGAGCTTTAACAACAAATTAAAACCAAAGCTGTCGCATATATGATTAACGGCGACGACATAAAAAATAAACTTTCTCTTCTAATTATAATCAGTGTGGCAGGGGTGTATATATATAGAAAATGATACATTGGTATTTATTATATAATTAAATTAGGAAATTATAATGAAAAAGAAATTTTTCTCTGTTTGTTTATTATTAATATTTAACAAAAGAAGATTGAATGGAAATGAAATTATACACTGCTATTTGATAACGATTTCCATTTGTGTATGACTTAATATTTAACAAAAGGAGATTAGAAAACGAAATTATATGCTGATATTTGTTAATTAAGCTAGGAAATGATAATGAAAATGCGAATTATCTCTATTTGTTTATAATAATAAAAAATAATGAATATTTAAAATCCGATGTATTTTTTAATGCTCATGTGAAATAAATAACATTCTTTCATTAAAAACGCTACGAATTAATTCCAACACCTAATATATATATACAGAATACAAATTATACACTAGTAAGTTGTTAATTATTATCTTTGAAAAATATAGATGACCGTTTTGACATTTTTATCGACTCAAGTAAATTATATCTCTAATTCTTCTTTAAAACTTATTGTATAAAAATTATTTCACAAGGGAAAAGGATCAATAGGGACTAATTTTGGCCTTCTCCGAATTTTATACAAAGACATGAAAATCTATTAGGTGTTGGAATTAATTCGTAGCGTTTTACAAGTGATGGGAAGTACTTTCATTAATGTATTTTTTAATGCTCATGTGAAATAAATAACATTCTTTCATTAAAAACGCTACGAATTAATTCCAACACCTAATATTTCTTGAAGTCAATTATAAGATAAATTGTTTATAAAAACGTTCGTTACTACAAAATGCATGATATCAGTACAAACTTACTTTTTAAGAAAAGGCGCTAAGAATACATGCTTCTCGAATAAAATCTAAGTATCCAACCTAATTAATAATAGTTTCAATTTTTCTTCAAGGATATTTTTATTGAAGGTCTTTTTATTCCAACTCAAGCAATGGTAACTTTAATTCTCTGTCAAATTATCTCTTCAAAAAAAATTAATGTATCAAATGAAAAATTAAAAGAGAGAAATTGCTACAATCTTAATTAATCAAGTTAAATTTTATTAAATTAAAAAGTAAAATAAATGATACTGTCTCTTGTTATTTACTTAACTCTAATGATATGTATCATTCATATAAAAGATTTGATATCAACAAAATTGGCGCCAAGTTAAATTCCTCAAAATTTTATGTATCATTCGTAAAAAAGATTTGATATCAAGAACTAGCACCAAGTTAAATCTCATTTCATTATACCATGTCAAATTAAATAAATAATGAATATTAATTTAATGATATATATTATTTGTACAAGAGATTTGATATCAACAACTGTGGCGCCAAGTTAAATTCTACTATCAAAATAAAAAGTAAAACCCAAATGATACTATCTTTATTATTTACTTAATCCAAATACTATCTTTAATCAAACCTAAATATACGTATATCTTATTGAAGAATCTTCCTATTCCAATCCAAAATTTAAATTTCTCTTAAATGAAATTATTATATCAGAATTCATTCAAAGACATTTTTTCTTTCAACTAAAGTAATTTTAATTTTTCTTCAAAATATTATACAAAACATTATCATAAAATGCGTTACCTTGCTCAATTGAAGTGTTACCACAAAAATTAAAGAATTAACCGTATAAAATGAAACAAATTTAATTTATAATAAGTAGAAAAATTTTTCATGTAAAAACACTTTGCGTTGCTAGATCTCAATATAATATTATAACATAGTAGTAAAACATGAATGTAATATTTAGAAAAATAAGAATGTAATTCTTAGAAAATATAATATTTAGAAAATAACATAAATAAGAAGCATATTAATAAGACAAATTAGAATTATATTAAAAAATATGAATATTTAGAAAATATGAATATTTAATAAAATAAGAAACATTCCCAACGAAAGTTAAAATGTCTAGCGTGTGTATATATGTATATATACGCCTGAGTTATAGAATGTAAATTATGAACACTGTGCTTTTTCTTTAGTTTTTTTCTTTAATTGTCCTAGGCTGTGTTATGCTAACGATCCCGTGTATCATCCTTGTTTAATCTTAGATGAACAATAAAGGTAAAGCGATATACGGAGGTACTCGAGTAACGTTTCACACAGTCTTAATGATATCAATGTTATTTGTTCTGCTGAAAATTCTGATGAAAAAAAAGTAACTGAAAAATAATTAAAAGTTATTTTGTCAGTAACGGTAACTGTAACGAATTATTTTTTAGAGTCGATAATTTGTAACAGTAACTAATTACTTTTTGAGATAAAAAATGTATCTGTAACTAATTACTTTTACAAAGTAATTTTTCCATCCTTGTTTATTATCTAATACTGTATCTATTAACTATATCTATTATTTTTGCAGTTTAAAATGGTAAAGTTATATGCATTGACCGTTCTATATAAAAGTCCTCCGTCAGTAACGACGCTGAAAGCTGCTTATGATGTAGAGTCGTTCTCATTTTTTCAAAAGAATAGTATTAAAGAGTTTATGTGTTTTGTCAGTAAAACCATTGTAGAAAGAACGCAGACTTGTGCCAGGCAAAGCGTCAAAGAAGGAGGTAATCATGATAGGATTATAATATTATAATTCTAAAATTTATTATATTACTGTAAACAATATTATGTTTGATTCTCCATGTATTTGATCCTAGAATACATGTGTCATGTCTATGTACGAGCCGACAATCTCGCTGCAGTTCTCATCTCGGATCATGAATACCCTAGGAGAGTGGCTCATACTCTAATTACAAAAGTGATGGAAGAGTTTACAGTGAAACATCCACCATCGACATGGCCCGCGCTTAAAGAGGTCACCGCTGACTTTCCACAGATCAATACGTATCTAGCCAAGTATCAGAATCCAGTTGACGCGGATGCGCTCACGAAAATGCAGAACGATCTAGATGAAACCAAAATTATTTTGGTAAGAATCAATAATTACATAGTTTTTCTTTTATTTACTAAAAAATTTCTAAGAGGATTTATTTGATCTATTGGAATATCCGTTCGTACATAGTGATTCAGATCCACAACAGAAGCCGGCACGTACGTATTCCTCATGAAAAAGTGAGTTGAAAATGTCAATAGCAAAATGTTGTAATAACAATAATTTTAAAGCCTTTGAAAATATCCAACTACAGGGCATGAAATTCGCGCCGTCAGAAGCGGTACAACTAAGCGGCCGGCCGGGCGAACGCTTTGACGGATACGATATTGCACGATATCGAACGAATATTGTAAACGAAAGTTCGTAAAATTTCTAAATTAACATCTACTGTAATATTCTTAAATTGAATCCGATTTAATTGATGAGAAGTAATGTTAATTACGCAAATTCGATATGAAGTCATTTATATCAGTAAAAAGAATTTTTAAAATATGTTTTAAATAATAAACGAATAAATTTATAAACAAAATCAATATTAAATTATCCGAACATATTTCAAAAATCCTTTTTACTGATATAAATGACGTTGTATCGAATTTGCGCAATTGATATTACTTCTTATAAATTAAATCGGACTCGATTTAAGAATACAGTAGATGTTAATATAGAGATTTAATGAGCCTTCGTAATACTTGTTCGATATTGTACTGTTAAGCGGTATCCGTCAAAGCATTCGTGCGGCTGGTTGTTTAATTGCACCGCTACTGACGGCGCGAATTTCATATTCTATGGTTAATATTTTCAAAAACTCACCGTTTAAAAACTATTGACATTACATCATTTTGCTATTGACATTTTCGACTCACTTTTTCGTGAGGAATATGTATGTGTCTTCTGCGGTTGGTCTGGATCGCCCTGCGTGCGCGCGCCCACACTCACGCGCTCACACTCACGCGCTCTCACACACACACACACACACACACACACACACACACACACACACACACACACAAAAAACCACACACACACACACAAAACCACACACACACACACACACAAAACCACAGAGGAATTTTGTAATAGCGCGCACTAGGGACTCTGAGTGCACTTTATTGAGGTAATCTCCATTTCACTCCTAAACTGAAAATCTAGGATCGTTGCGGTATCATTTTATCTACCGATGTGAACCTAGCGCTCAACTTTATCAAAAATAAAAATTAATACCGTAGGCCGTTTGTACTTCGTTTGTATTTGTTTGTACCGATCATTATTTTGTTTGTACCTGAAACAGTTAAACAAAAATAAAAAGGGTTCGGAGTTACAATACGTTTCAGTTTTTGCGCGATCCCTATATAACGAACTTAGCCAATTTTCAAGATATCGAAATGGGATCAACGGCATTCGAAAGAGAATCGTTTGTACCCGTTTGTACTTTTCCTACTCGCTGTATCTTCGAACCCTTTAAGGTACAAACGAAAGTAGGAGAGGTACATACAGATACAAACGATTCTCTTTCGAATACCGTTGGTCTCATTTCGATATCTTGAAAATTGGCTAAGTTCGCTATATAGGGATCGCGCAAAAACTGAAACGCGCTGTATCTCCGAATCCTTTGAAATATAAATAAAAGTAGGAGAGATACAAATGGGTACAAACGATTCTCTTTCGATATCTTTAAAAATGGCCGACTTCCCCTTTTGGCGCATTTCCGAAATTTTGAAATCGCTGTATTTCCGAACCCTTTGAGATACAGGGTCCGGCAAAATGATCTCCCATATTTTAATCTTTAATAAAAACGCCATTGTAAATGCTATTTAGATTTTATTTTTATTAACTGAAAATTTATGCTATGCCATTTGTTTTTATTGAGTTTTGAAAATTACAGAGTGGTCCAAGTGGCGACCATTTTTTTCGATACACATTCGAAGCTGCTTTCTAAAAGTTTCCATCACTCGAGCAATAATTTGAGGCGATATTCCTGTAATTTCTTGGCGTATTGCTGCTTTCAATTCGTCAATGATTCGGGGGTGGTGTTGAAAAACCTTCGCTTTCAGGTAGCCCCAAAGGAAAAAGTCGCATGGGGCAAGATCGGGTGAACGCGCAGGCCACCCAACGTCTCCACGTAACGAGATTACGCGTCCTGGAAACATTTCCCTTAAAACGTCCTTAAACGCCCGTCCAATTCATGACGACAACTGAAATGGCAAGGCGCGAGCTACCAACCAACTACGCTAAGCTCCCCCTCTCTTCAGTGGTTCGGGGACAGTGGCGGTGCAAAATGTGGGAGATCATTTTGCCGGACCCTGTACAAACGAAAGTAGGAGAGGTACAAACGGGTACAAACGATTCTCTTTCAAATGGCATAAATGAAATTAAAAAATCTTAAAGTTGCGCGCTGGCCATTTTTTATTTTTTGTTTAACTGTTTGAGGTACAAATAAAATAATGATCGGTACAAACAAGTACAAACGAAATACAAACGGCCTACGGTATTAATTTTTATTTTTGATAAAGTTGAGCGCCAGGTTCACATCGGTATTTCATCTAGCTTCAATATGCGCTTTAAGACTATTTGGTATGTAATTTATAAAACTGTAAAATGTATTTAAGATTTAAATATATAATATTACATATTTCAATCTAAAATACATTTTGCACAAATCTATATTAACACGTCGCGCGTTGGAAATAACTGCTACGTTACTGTATTGCTATCTCCACTTACACTATTGCCGTACGCTGAGCGCATATGGAGGAGATGATTCGCGCTATTTCGAGGTATGCTTAATAGTAGATATAGAAAAATGTTTTACACAAAAATTGCATGGTTTAGGGGAGGGTCTTGGTCATATTGTCTTTCTTCCAAAAAGAAGTTATATATTGTAATTCTATTTAAAAAAAAGTGAAGGCGTCAAGAGAATATGAAGGTCGTCTCCTTTTTTAAATGGAATTGTATAATTTTTTTATACAATATGATTTCTTTAATTATTCTGCATTTAAAAGTATTAAGATAATGATATAAAAATCCAATAGTTTACGAGATATTTTATACTTTATTTCGATACATAAAATATTAAGTAACTTGTAAACTATTAATTTTTCGATAATCGTATCTTAATACTTTTATGAATAGAATCATAAGATGAATCAATTAGTAGAAAAACAATTGCTTTAAAAAAATGTGAGCAAAATGGATAATTTTTAAAATAAGCAACTATATGTTTTCTTTCCATCAATTCATTATTCTGTTCATAAAAGTATTAAGGTTATAAAAAAATTAATAGTTTACGAGTTATTTAATATTTTATGTCAATATATGCTAAAATAGAGTATAATATCATTAATATTATTTTTTAATATTATTATCGTAATACTTTTATGGAGAATAATCAAAGAAATCATATTGTGTACAAAATTATATAGTTCTAAAAAAGTGGAAGTGTACTACATATCTTTTTGACGCCTCCACTTAGAAAAAAAAACCAACATGACCAAAATATGTCTCCCTCTAATGCTCAATTTCTTCACTACCAGATAAGTTGCGGGTAATCTTATCAAGAAGATATCGCTATTGTGATCTGGGAGATATCTTTTATAAATAAAGTTATTTAGAGATGAAGAAATTAGGCATAAACCATGCAACTTTTGTCAAAAACATTTTTCTTAGCTTCCATATTTTTCGAGATATTTGTTTGGGGAAATTAAAATGAGAGACTGTATACAGAATATCTGGTAAATTTTGACAAAGCACTTGTGTGTAGATGGAGCGGACTAAACTGAGTTGAAAAGTCCTGTACCATTTTGCAATTTTCGCACTAGTTAACAAGATATTAATTACTAAAAATTGTCGAATATTGATCTTCTATAATTTTTCTCAAATATCAAGTTTACAAAAATTGCAAGAGACAAATACTGTTTATTTTTTTCTCAGAATTTCACAAAATTTTTTAGAATTCTTTATCAACTTTTTAGTACTGCATTTTCTTATTTTTACAACATAACAATACGGTATTAAAAAATTCTGAAAAAGCTCTTAGAACTTTATGAAGAAAATAAACAATTTTTTTCTCTGGCTGTTTTTCTGTAAAGTTAATAGTATTTGAGTAAAAAATTATTGAAAACCAATATTCAGCGATTTTTAGTAATTAATATCTCGTAATTATTGCGAAAATTGCAAAATGATAGAGAACTTTTCCGAGTCAGATTAATCCGCTCTATCTATACACACAAGCGCTTTGTCAAAAAACTTACCAGGTACCCATATACAGAATGTAAAAAAGTTCCGGACCGCTTAAATATCTTGAAAAATAAGCATTTCTGAGAAAAATGTTTTATACAAAAGTTATAGGGTTGAAAATGATTTATTTACTGACCTTATCAATTTGACCTTGAGTGGCGCCACCAAGGTTAAGTCAAGGTCGAATCCATTTTTTTTAAACTAAATCTATTTTTTATTTTAGAATCAATAGCTGATGTCAGGAGTTTTTTAAAATACTATAATAAAGCTTCTTTTTAATCAATATATTCCAAGTTATGAGACTAGAAAGTAACAAAACTGCCAGCATCATATGCAGCCTCAGAAGGGAGCGCCTTAGATAATGCTAATATAGATAATCCTCGTAACTCGAAAAGTACTTAATGAAAAATAATATATTATAATTTAAAAATAAATTATTATAGTGTTTTGAAAAGCTTTTGACATCAACTATTAGATTCTGGCATCAAAAATAGAATATTCTATTTAAAAAAATCAATTTGACCTTGACCTGATCTTGGCGACGCCACCTAAGGTCAAGCAGATATAATCAGTGAATAGATCTTTTTAAACCCTACAAATTTTGTTCAACTTTTGAAACATTTTTCTCAAAAATGCTTTGCTTTTGAGATATTCGACCGTTTCCAATCTTTTGATATACCCTTATATATAGGGTATCTCAAAACTCGCATACTGCCAACGTATTCTCCGTGAAAATTTAAAACGAAAACGTCTGTATTATAAAGCGATTCGATCAGTAGACTTTGAATGGAGAGATATTG